GGAGGAGGAGGAGGAGGAGGAGGAGGAGGAGGATGAGGATGAGGATGAGGATGAGGAGAAGGAGGAGGAGGAGGATGAGGAGGACCTGTGTAAACCCAAGAGTCATCAACGGTGTTGGAATAAAGCCTCCCTCCAAGCTCCCTCCTTCATAGGCCCCCACAACGGTTCATTTCCATTGAGGGAACTGCCCCGTTGGAAGACAACCGTTTGAAGACCCTGAAGCATGCCAATCTATTTTTCTCTGGATTCCAACGCCACGGATCAACCTGACTGTTGCGTTGTGACGATCCTGACGCGTGCCAGAACGCCATTCTTGGGACTTCAACACCGCGAATGAACGTAACTGTTCACCCTCATAATCCTGAATCCGTCCAAAGCCTCATTTCTGGTTCTTTGATCATCGGAACCCGTGACACTTGCAAAATTTTAAAACGAATGTGCGCGGCGCTGAGGCGGGAGCCACATTTTGAGAAGGAACCGTATTCAATCCGTAAAGCTCTGGCGAATGTTCAAGAGGAATGTGCGCGGCGCAGAGGCGAGAGCCACATTCTGAAAACGGTTTCCCTTCAAATCGTGAAACTCCTGTAAATTTTTAAGCGCGCGGCGCAGAGGCGATAGCCACATGTTGGAAGCGGGTCGCCCTCAATCCGTAAAACTCTTGCACTTTCTTGAAAAGAATACGCGCGGCGCTAACGCGAGAGCAACATCTTCAAAACGACCCGCCCTCCATCTGTGAAGCTGTTGTCACTTTTGAAGCTTCGGGGTCATGGTGAGAAAGTCTCAGGCGAAACGCCCGGCCCGCCCCAAAAACTGACCTCGGGGTGCGACAGGGCGGAGTTATTCATCAGGACAAGGAATGGAGGAGGAGGAAGAAGAAGATGATGATGCTGACGATGCTGATGCTGTTGATGATGATGATGCTGATGATGATGATGATGAGTGAGGATGATGGTGATGATGCTGACGATGATGACGATGATGATGATGATGCTGATGATGATGATGATAATGATGATGATGCTGATGATGCTGCTGATGATGATGCTGATGATGCTGATGATGCTGATGATGCTGATGATGATAATGCTGATGCTGATGCTGATGCTGATGCGGCTGATGATTATGCTGATGACGATGATGACGATGATGATGATGATGATGATGATGATGATGATGATGATGATGATGTTGATGATGATGGCGGTGGTTGTGGTGGTGATGATGATGATGAGGAGGAGCACGGGGAGGCGGAGGAGGCAAAGGAGGAGCAGGAGAACGATAAGGAGGAGGAGGAGGAGGTGGAGGAGGAAGAAGATGAGGAGGAGGACGAGGAGGAGGAGGACGAGGAGGAAGAGGAGAAGGAGGAGGAGTATGAGGAGGAGGTGGAGGGGGATGATGATGATGCTGATGATGATGCTGATGATGGTAAAGACGATGACGATGACGATGATGACGATGCTGATGATGATGCTGGTGATGATGCTGCTGCTGCTGATGATGATGATGATTATGCTGGTGATAATGATGATGCTGAGGATGATTCTGATGGTGATGATGATGGTGATGATGATGACTATGCTTATGATTACGATGATGCTGTCGCTGATGATGAAGATGATGATGATGATGCATTTGATGATGATGATGATGATGATGATGATGATGATGATGATGATGATGATGATGATGATGCATTTGATGATGATGATTATGATGATGATGATGATGCATTTGATGATGATGCTGCTGATGATGCTGAGGATGACGATGATGATGGTGATGTTGATGATGATGATGATGATGATGGTGGTGGTGATAATGATGATGCTGATGATGATGCTGATGCTGATGCTGATCATGTTGTTGATGATGCTGCTGCTGATGATAATGACGATGATGATGATGACGGTGGGGATGACGATGATGATGATGATGATGATGGTGATGATGATGGTGGTGATGATGGGGATGCGACGGTGATGATGATGAAGATGGTGATGATGATGATGCTGATGCTGATGATGATGCCGATGCTGATGCTAATGATGATGCTGCTGATGATGATGGTGATGATGATGGTGGGGATGATGATGATGATGATGATGATGATGATGATGATGATGATGATGATGATGAGATGATGAGATGATGATGATGATGATGATGATGATGATGATGATGATGATGATGATGATGCTGGTGATAATGATGATGCTGAGGATGATGCTGATGGTGATGATGATGATGATGATGATGATGATGATGATGATGATGATGATGATGATGCTGTTGCTGCTGCTGCTGTGCTGCTGCTGCTGCTGATGATGCTGATGCTGATTGTGATGATGATGATGATGATGATGATGATGATGATGCTCATGAGGAGGAGGTGGTGGAGGAGGAGGACGAGGAGGAGGAGAAGGAGGAGGATGGGATGGAGGAGGGGGAGGGGAAGCAGGAGGGGAAGCGGGGGGAGGAGGAGGATGTGGACCAGTGTAAAGCCAAGACGCACCAACGATGTTGCAATCCCCCCTCCCTCAAAGTACCCTCTGCATACATTCCTACACGAGTGCATTTCCGTTGCAGGTAGTGCCCCATTGAAAGACCATCGTCTGAGAATCTTCAATCGTGGCAAAACACGATTCTTGGGATTTCAGTGCCGGGAATCAAAGTGTTTGCTGTGTCCTGGCAATCCTGAGTCGTGCCGGAACAGCATTATTGGGACTATTTCAACGCGAGGCGACGTGACTGTTGCGTCCTGACAGTCCTGAATCAGGCCAGAAAGCCATTCTCGGGATAACCCTACAAATCTTTGAAACTGGTGCAGCGTTTCAAGACTGATGTGCGCGGCGCTGGGCGGGAACCACATTTTGAAAAGGAACCGTCTTCCATCCCTGAAGCTGCTGCAGGCTATCAACACGCATGTGCGCGGCGCTAGTGCGAGACGCACATGTTGCAACCTTTCAATACGAATGCGCGCGGCGCTAATGTGATATCCGTATCTTGAAAACGACCCGCTTTCAATCCGTGAAGCTGTTGTGAACTTTTGATGCGAATTGCACCACAGAAAAACCCCCAACCAGTGGATGGTTTGAAATGGGATCGATAAAGAGATCGATAAGGAGATCGACCGGGAACCCGCGAACCCTGAACCCACCGAAATCGGCCCGGAACCAATAACCAGGAACCCGGGAACCCGGAGTTGGGAGCCCGGGAACGCAGCCGGCCACCAAAATCGGCGGGAAAGTTTCGCCAAATCTTTCAATATCCGCTATGACCCCTTCAGTGCAAGCACTGATTGGGGAATGTGCGTGGCGTTCAGGTGAGAGCCGCATTTTGAAGACTGCCCGCCCTCCATTCGTGAAGCTGTTGCTAACCACATTTTGAACATGAACCGCCCTCCATCCGTTAAGCTCTTGCATGGTTTTCAGACGGACGTTGGCTGTGCTGATACGACAGCCACATTTTGACACCGACTAGCCATCACCCGTGAGGCTGCTGCACATTCTTATGGCGAATGTGCACGGCGCTGAGGCGAGAACCACATTCGAATAAACAACCTGCGCTGCATCCCTGAAACATGTGCAGGTATCTAAGACGGATGTGCGCGGCGCTGAGGCGAGAGCCACATGTTGAGATCGACCTGCCCTCCACATCCGTGAAGCTTCTGCGTTTTTCAAGGCGGGCGTGCGCGGCGCTCAGGCGAGGGCCACAATTTGAAACCGACTCGCCCTCCCTCCGTGAAGCGGCTGCCAATTTCCAGCTTCAGGATCATAAGTGGTGAGGAAGTCTCAGGCGAAATGCCCCGCCGGCCTTTCGACCCGCCTCGGGGTGCGACACGGAGGAGTTATTCATAAGGAAAAGGAAAGGATGAGCAGGGTGGCGTGAGGAGAGGAGGGGGAGGAGGAGGGGGCGGATGATGCGGAGAAGGAGGAGGAGGTGGGGAGTGGGAGGGTGGGGAGGGGAGGTGGAGTGGGGGGGGGAGGGGGATGATGATGATGACGATGCTGATGATGCTGTCGATGATGATGCTGATGTTGATATTGACGCTAATATTGATAATGCTGATGATGATGCTGATGACGGTGGTGGTGGTGATGATGCTGCTGATGATGCTCACGATGTTGATGATGATACTGATGATACTGCTGATGATGATGCTGATGATGCTGATGACGACGGCGATGACGATGGTGGTGGTGGTGATGATGATGACGATGACGATGCTGATGCTGATGGTGATGATGATGCTGACATTGATGATGATGACGATGATGATGACGATGTTGATGATGATGAATATGATGATGATGCTGATGCTGATGCTGATGATGCCGATATGGTGATGCTGCTGCTTAGGAGGATGGGGAGGCGGAGGATGATGGGGTTGAGGATGAGGATGATGAGGATGATGCTGATGAGGATGAGGCTGATGCTGCTGTTGATGATGGCGATGCTGCTGCTGATGATGCTGATTATGCTGATGATGATGCTGATGCTGATGCTGCTGATGATGCTGATGATGAAGATCATGATGCTGATGATGATGAGGATGATGACGATGATGGTTGTGATGATGGTGCTGATAAAACCATGATGCTGATGGTGATGATGATGCTGATGATGCTAACGACGCTGATGATGCTGATGATGCCGATGATTGTGATGATGATGCTGACGATGCTCATGATGATGCTGATGATGTTGTTGACGATGATGATGGTGATGCTGATGATGACCAAGGCGCTGCTGGTGATGATGATGACGATGCTGATGATGATGATGATGCTGGTGATGAGGATGATTACGACGATTATGACGACGATGATGATGCTGATGGTGATACTGATTATGTTGGTGATGATGCTGATGCTGATGAAGATGATGCCGATGATGCTGATGATGATGGTGGTGGTGGTGGTAATGGCGATGACGACGATGACGATGACGACGATGACGATGTCGGTGATGATGATGATTATGATGATGATGATGATGATGATGATGATGATGATGATGATGATGATGATGATGATGATGGTGATGATGATGATGATGATGATGATGCTGCTGCTGATGATGATGATGATGCTGATGATGATGATGATGATGATGCTGCTGATGAGATGATGATGCTGCTGCTGATGATGATGATGCTGCTGATGATGATGATTCTGTTGATGCTGATGATGATGTTGATGCTGCTGCTGATGATGATGCTGCTGGTGATGATGATGATGATTATGTTGATGCTGATGATGATGATGATGATGATGATGATGATGATGAGATGATGATGATGATGTGATGCTGATTGCTGCTGCTGCTGCTGTGATGATGATGATGATGATGATGATGATGATGAGACGAGTTGAGAGTGAGGATGAGGACGAGGATGAGGGTGAGGATGAGGATGAGGATTATGATGATGATGATGATGATGATGATGATGATGATGATGATGATGATGATGATGATGATGATGAGGAGGAGTAATACGAAGACGAGAAGGAGGAGGGGGTGGAGGAGGGGGGAGAGGAGGAGGAGGAGGAGGAGAGGAGGAGGAGCAGGAGGAGGAGGAGGGGAGGGGAGGAGGAGGAGGAGGAGGCTGAGGAGGAGGAAGGCGGAGGGCGAATACTAGGAGGACGAGGAGGTGGAAAAGAAGGAGGAGGCGGAGGAGGAGAAGGAGGATGAGGAGGAAGATGAGGAGGATGAGGAGGAGGAGGAGGAGGATCCGGGGGAGGATGAGGAGCAGGAGGAGGAGGAGGAGGAACAGGAGGAGGAGGAGGAGTAGGAGGAGGATGAGGAGGTTGATAAGGAGGAGGAGGAGGAGGAGGAGGAGGCAGAGGAGGAGGAGGAGGAATTGAAGGAGGAGGAGGAGGAATGAGGTGGGAGGGGTGAGAAGAAGTGTGGCGGAATGAGTTGGAGTGAGCTGGAGTATGGAGGAGTGAGGAGATAGGAGTGAGCCATAAGTGGTTGTGGGAGTAAGATGATGACGATGTTGGTGCTGCTGTTGCTGTTGCTGATGGTGTTGTTGGTGGTGTTGGTGGTGATGCTGATGCTGATGATGATGATGACAAGGACGAACAGGATGAGTAGGAGGAGGAGGAAGAGGGGTAAGGAGGATAAGGTGGAGGGATAACATAAAACAGGACGGATTAGATGATGACGAGGAGAAGAAGGAGGAAGAGGTGCAGGAGGAGGATGATAAGGAGGAAGGACGAGGATGGGAGAACGGAGGGGGTTAGGTAAGGATGGAACTTGGGGGAGCAAGAGGAAGCGAGGAGGCAGGAGGAAAGCACGTTGGTCTTGACACTGGCCAGCGTGGCGCTTCACTGCCCAGGCCGCAGTCGTCGCCGCCGCCGCCGCCGTCGCCGTCGTCGTCGCCGTCGCCGTCGCCGTCGTCGCCGTCCGTTTTACGTCGTTTTGTCGTCCGTCGTTGTGTCCTGCTTCCCTCGTCCATCTTCCTTCCTTCGTCGGCTCCCGTCGTCGTCGGTCGCACGTCGTGTGTCGTCCTCGTCGTCGTCGCCGTCGTCGCCGCCGTCGCCGTCCTGGCCGCCGACCCCCCGTGGGGGCCCGGCCGGAGGGCGCGGGCGACGGCAGCGACGTGGAGGTGATCGACAAGGGCAGGGGCAAGGCCCCGCAGCCGGGCGTCGGCGCGGATGGGGGGGGCGGAGGCGAGGCGACCGTCAACTTTCCACTGTCATTATCAGTATCACCAGCACCATCACCGTCATCATCACCACCACCATCGTCGTCGTCCTCCTCATCCTCCTCAGCCTCGTCATCACCATGATCAGCATCGTCATGAACATCATCACTCGTCTGCAACATCATCATCATCACCACCACCACCATCATCCCCATCATCATTATCAACGCCAGCACTATCATCATAACCATAATTACCGTTATAACCACCACTATCACCATCACCATCATCACCATCACCGGCATCAGCTTCATCGTTCTCATCACCATAATCATCGCCATTATCATAATCACCATAATCATCATAAGCAACATCACCATCACCATCATCATCACCATCACCATCATCATCAAGTTCATCATCATCTGCACCATCATCATCACCATCATCACCACCATCATCATCACCATCATCATCATTACCGTCATCGGCTTCACCACCATCATCCTCATCTTCGTTATCAACGCCATCATCATTATCATCATCATTACCATCGTCACCATCACCATCACCATCACCACCAGCATTATCACCATCACCAACATTCTCATTATGATCATCATACTTCGTATTATCATTATCATCATGATTCGCATCCTCATCACTTTCATCTTCATAATCATCATCACCATCATCATCAACTCATCATCATCATCATCATCATCATCATCATCATCATCTTTGTCCGTTTTATCATTATCGTCGCCCACGTCATTATCAGCAGCATCAGACTTGATCTCATCATCATCGCCATCATCATCATCATAATCATCACCACCATCATCTTCATCATCATCGTCGTCATTACCACCACCATCGTTATCATCACCATCATCACCACCATCACCATCATCATCCATCAGTATCCATCATCACCATCATGAGCCCCACCATTTCCATCACAATCATCATCAGCAGCATCATCATTATCAGCTTCATCATCATTAGCAACATAATCACCACCATCATCATCACCATCGTCATCGTTATCGTCATCGTCATCGTCATCGTTATCATAAACCTTATCGCCATCCTTACCACCACCACCATCATCACCATCATCTTCGTCATCGTCATCATCACGATTTGTATAATTGTTATCATCAGGAGGGAGGCGATGCAACATTTTGTAAACATTGATTTTCGGAGATCCGCGCTGGACCCCCGCTGGCGTGCTCGGCGCGCGAGGGGCGGCGCTGGAGGCGCCGCCGGGGGGGCCGAGCGCGGATCCAAGAAAACCGCGAGGACCTCCGACAGTGTATGTTTATGGAGTTGTTTCTTCTTCGACGGACGGACGGTAGGGCGAGGCCCAGACATGCTCGCGTCGTGGAATGATCACAGTGGAAGGGTTTTGGCCATTCTCGGCTTCCAGGGGCCTTTGCCAGGCCCCAGGACAGTCGCAAAAGACGACTCGGGATGAACGACGGGCCCTGGGGAAAGGGTCGGGACTTCAGGGACTGCGTAGCGCGGGGGGGGGAGGAGGCGAGGGAAGCGGGGTGCGGGGGGGGGAAGGGGTTGGCTGAGAGCCGGAGGGGGGTGAGGCCCAGAGCCAGGGGTGAGGGGGGGCGAGGGGGGAGGAAGACGGGTGGCGAGGCGAGGGAAGGGGGGGCGGAGGAAGACGGGGGGCGAGAGGAGGACAGAAGGGGGGGCGGAGGAAGACGGGGGGCGAGGCGAGGGAAGGGGGCGGCCGATGGGGGGGGGAGGAGGGGAGGGAAAGAGGCGGATGAGGGGTGGTGCGAGGGGGAGGGGAGGGCCGGGTCTGGGTGGCGGCGGGTGAGGGGAGGGACGGGTCCGTGGGGGGGGGTAGAGGGGGAGCATGCTCCTTCGTCGTGGCGCGCCTTCGGCCGACACGCTTAGCCCTGGTGCCCTTTGAGGGCCGCAGATCAAACGGCGGGGCGGAGAAGGATGCGGAGGAGATGGTGGAGAGGGAGAAGATCGAGGTAGAGGAGGCAAGCCAGTGGCGCTCGCGCCATATCTGACATCGCTCCCCTCCCACCCGTCCCTGCCGATGGCTCTGAAATCTTGTATGTTCGCCAGCAGGGGTGTCCTAGATTACCTTGTTCACTTCAGTGGCCCCATCGTGTGATACGCAATTCAAAACCAAAGGTTAGGAAGACGAGGTCGCTGATGTGCAGGACAGTGAGCAGGAACAACATCAGGACGCTGAAGACGGAGGGGGAACACTAACAGAAACAGGAGGAAAGTGGAGGAGGGAGAAGGAGGGAGACGAACACGACGAGGAGCGAATCGGATCTAGAAGTGTGGGCCGCGCTGTGGCGAGAGCGCAAACTTTATCGATGGCAGCACAGCGACCGAGAACTTCTTGGACCGAGCGCGAAATTTGATCCGATAGCGCCACTTGTTCGTTTGACGGGAAGCAGCCATTTTGAACGCCACCTCGGGACGATCCTGTGTTACATACCGTTTGCGAGATAGGCGGGGACAATTACAAACAACACCAGGGGATATTGCGTAATTGCGGAGGGATTTTGAGGTGGAAAAGGGGAGGAGGGGGGATGAGGGCGGGAGGGGGGTCCGTAGCCTTGGCTCGAGCCTGGCTCAAGCCATTCTGGCTCAAGGTGGTTGGCGCAACCTTGGGCCTGTCTTCTTTCTTCCTCCTGCTCGGAGAGCAGGCGCCCGCAGGTTCACGATTCCACTTCTGCTTCCTATGCGATGGCGTGGGGACAGCCCTGGCGCCCTCGCGGCCCGAGCAAAGCCTACAGCTGGACCTGCAGCTGCTGTCAGGCCAGTGTCTCATGGAGCCTGTCGTGGTGTTGGCGCTGTGGCGAGCACTACTCGTCTAACACGGGCACCGCGCAGGACGGGAGCACATCGCCACAGCCATCCAGGGGCAAGCGTAAGCCCCACAGTCGTGTACCGAGCCAGCCCAAAACGAGCCCATCTGGCAGTTCAGTCGCAGGGTCTGGCCTACCTCGAGCAGGAGGGCAAGATACCCCTCCTGGGCTGGGCGCCGCAGCAGCGCCCGCCGCCGCCTCAGGCGAATCGGCGGGCGGCTCTGCCCCTGCAAGACAGGTTGCCGCAGGCGCCCCAGCCACCGCAGTCACAGGCCATCATCTCCAGATTTGTCAGCAGGCCCTTGACACCAGGCGGAAGCTCGGAGGCAAAGGAGGCGCTGCAGGGCAAGGCCCTCGAATCCTCGCTGCAAGCCCTTCGCTCCGAGCGCGTCGCCGCCAAGCCCACCAGTGCCCAGATGCAGGCGGCGGCGGACAAACGCGTCAAGCATCAGAAGCAGTTCGATCGGCACCAGGAGCAGCTCAAGCTGTGCGAGGTCAAAGTTCCCAACGCCCGCAGTCATTCTGATCGACAGGGGGCCCTCGTCAAACAAGAGAAGGAGGCCATCGCCGAAGTCATCGCAAATATCGAGGCAGACAAGCATGAGAAGCCGCGTGGGGGCGACCCGATGCAGGGGGCGGATCACGACGTTCTTTGCAGCGTCCCTGTTGACCGCCTCATGGCTGCTAGTGCCCAGCAGGCTGGCGCCAAGGGCCCATCTAGGCAGAACGAAATCAAAGCCATCTTCGAGCAGCTCACCGCAATCCTGGCGGCCTGCGTCAGCGTGGAGAGCGCTTCCGAACATGTGCCTCAGCCAGGACCTCCCAGCTCTAACCCGAGGATTCCGAGGATCCCCGTAGCCGACGAGGCCCTCCACGAGGCCCCCAGAGCAGGAGTTCGTTCGAGATCCCCGCCCCGCAGTGAAGCAGCTGAGGCCAAGGCGCCGTCAGCCCCGCCTCCAGCCCGTGCTGAGGCGAAGGCCTCCGCAGCCCCTCGCCACCAGCTCGCTCAGCGGGCGGGTAACAGCTTCCGTGTTGTCACACTAAATGCGTCTTCCGGGGGCAGAGCCACAAGCAACATAGACCAAGCCCCAAAGGAGGTAGCAGTGATGTTCATTCAGGAGCACGGGCTCCGATCATTTCAAATACCAGATATTCAGCATGCACTCGGCATCCAGGGGTGGGCCAGGTACTGGGGCCCCTGTAAACGTAATTCGGGGGTGGGGTTGGGGGGGCATTTTACTGCGTCGGCATCTAGATTCCTGGCGGCCGTCCGCGTCCAAGGGTGTCTTGGCTCCTGGGAGAACAGTGCAAGCTTATAGCAGGACTCGGAGTTTTTGGGATTGTCAGTCTATTTTCTAACTACTGGGTGGGCAGTATTGGGGCAGGACGCGCCAATGTGGTTGTATCCAGAACCCTGGGGTCGCACATTTTGAAGACAGGCATTCCTTTCGTCGCGGGTGGTGACTTCAACGTGATCCCTGAGGCCCAATCGGAATGCCTGGGCCCCGAAAAGTACGAAGCAGAGATTTTTCGCCCCGATCGAGCACGCGTGCATCATCGGTGAGAGCAGGACAATCATATACGACTTTTTAGTTGATGCGGTGCTAGCCATCAGTTTCGAGCACGTCACTGTCGATCAGAACGCGCACGTTCCGCCGCGCAAGCCCGTCGCAATGATGAAAGCGTATCAGAAGATCCCCGCCGCGGCCCCTGTGGGGCCCCAGCCGGAGCCCCCAGACTACGCGGACCTGAACCGTGAAGTCAGAGGCCTGCTCGAGGTTTTTCGACATCAGTCAGGGCATGGCTCTAGGACTCCAGCGAATGTCGGGGAGAAGGCCATCCTCCAGGCCTCCCTCGACCGCATCTACCCAGCCTGGGCAGCAAGGGCCTGGGGGGAGCTGAAATGTAAGTTTCAGGTGGTCGGGGCCACCGGTCTGGAGGGGGGGGGCCGTTCCAGCTTGAGCAGTCGAGGCTATCCGAGTTGCTCATCACCAGTCGGAAACCTTTCCCTAGTGAAAGCAGGAGTGCGTGCTGGATGATCAGGAGGTTGAATGAGTTGAGGAGCCTGGTCTTACATGAGAATGGTAACCTGGAAATGCTCGTGCAGCATGCGTTTAAGCTCCCACTTCGAGGCGGACCTTTCAGGGCGCCAGGAAAGACCCATGGCGAGTTCTGGCGCGCCTTCGCGCGCGAGGTGGGCGCCGCGGCCCTCGACCGCGACAGCCGCGATGTTTGTGTTGGGATATTGGAGGAGCTTCGTGATATCAATATTCAGAAGGAGAGGAAGGAGGTCAGCAGAAGGTGGGGGGAGTGGTGCGAGGAGGCCCTCGCTGGAGGGGCGAGGAGAGCACGCAGCACCACTAAGACCACCAATGGTTTTACAGAGGACATCCTGGAGCACCCTGGGGGGGGGGGGGGCCGCGTCCGCGTTTGGGGTTCGCTTCCAAGAACAACGCAATATTTGGTCCAAGGCTTGGGGGGCTCGCTGTAAGCCCATTGGGGTTCCCTGATTACGACCTCGGCTACAGGGTCCCTGCAGGGCCCGCGTCAGAGCAGCTCGAGAGGATCTCCGCGGGGTTCAAGGTCAGCGCCACAGCGGTTGACGGGTGCCACCCCAAGCACTTCTCGCAGCTCTCGGGAAAGGGGCCCTTGAGGTCATGGAAGGTATTTTCAATGCCTGAACATTTTACGCACGAGCCCGACGGTCCTCAAGGCGCTCATCGTTGCCCTGTTTAGGAAAACGATCGGACGTCGCCCTATTGGTTTCTTCAAGAGGCTCATCAGAGTTTATGCTCAGAGCCTCGTTCATCATTGCCGTCAATGGGAACGGGTGGCAGCCGAGTCGAGCCATTTCAACATGGCCCCACACAGGCGCGCCACATACTCGGTTTGGAGAGCAGTGGTGAGAACAGATCTGACCGACCACGAGGGAGATTTTGTCGCTGCCCTCCTGGCAGATTTGAAGCAGTGCTACGAGCGCATCAATCATGATATCATGCTGGAGCAGGGCCTTGCTTGTTTCTTTTCTCAGTTCGCTGTTCGTGCAGCTTTAGATTCCTACCGCTGGCCGAGGAGACTCCTTATGGACAAGTTGGTGGGCAATGCAATTGCACCCGGCCGCGGGATTGTCGCAGGGCCCCCGCGGCCGCTTTCGAGGTGAAAGCCTAGGCGTTGCCCGCTATTCGCCAGACGGACTTATTTGAAGGGAGCGACCTCTCGATCCATATCAACGACGTAGCTCTCGAATCGATCGCCGACGCGGTCGACGTGTGCGCGAACAATTTGACTGATCTTGCGGGGCAGGTTTTCTTCGAGTTTACCGGCGCCCTCGAGCTCCCAATGCGCGTGAAAAAGTTCAATTTCGCGTCCAGCAGTGCCAGGGTCATGCGAGACATGCTCCTTTTGCTTTTGGGGAACACTCAGGGGCTATTGCCGCGAACCTAGGTGCGGACTTCAATATTGGCCAGGTCGGGGCGACTAAAGGGTGCAGAGCTAAAAAGAATTCCCGATGGGAAACAATGTGAAGCGCTTCCCTCGAACTCGTCGTCTTCGGGGCCGTGTCCAAGGGGAGCCGCAAGAGGTCAACGTATTCGCTCGCGGGGTAATGCCGTCGATCTGCTATGGGGAAGAGGTCCATGGGCATTCGCCGCAAGAGATCCGCGAGCTCCGGAAAGTAACATCCAAGTTTCTAGGCGCGTGGTCTGCAGGTGCCACGGTCGACCTGTGGCTGTCCGAGCCAGCCGACGGCAGACCGCCTCCACCGCGCCAGCGCCGCGCTCAGGAGGTATTGCCGCGAGTGGTGGATGACCGCAGACGCGCGGGTGACGACGAGAGACGCGCTGAGCCCGACAGACCTTTGCCTCAACTTCGAGTACTCCAGTGCATTTTGAGCAGCAGGCCAGTGGGTCGAGCTGGCAACGTCGAGTTCGCAGCCCGATCACGGGCGCCTTGTTTTGGATCGAGCAGGCAGGTTGGGAGTTCAAGGGCCCCGCCGCGTGGACTGCCGCCAGCAACGTCGAGTTTAACCTCGCCGTTTAACCGCGAGCTATGATCCAGAAGCTGTTCGTGGCGGACGTCAAAACGCAGCTCCTGGGCAAGGCGGTTATGCGTGAGCTCCAGTTCCCTGAGGGCCCCGACGAGGACCTTCACCCCGGGGCCCAAGCTATCCGTGAGAGAGGCCTATGGGGATATCCGTTCAGCAAGGTTTGGGGCAGCGTTGAATGGAGCTTCGAGGCCGAGAAGATTCTGAAACATCTTGTTTGCGGGGCCCTCCCTACCAGTCACGTTCTTTGGAAGAGAGGATGCCGGGTGGGGCCTGCCTGCCAGTATTGCGGCCTGTGCGACGCGGTGCGTCGCGGGTTTTGACGCTGCCCCGCGGCGAGGCAGCCCGTGCGCGGGTGGATGGGATTATGATTCAAGCCGCGAGGAACTCCGTGGGTAAGGGCCCTCTGTACGCCAGCCTCTGGAAGCCGACGCAGCCGCTGTTGGCCCGAGCGGGTTGGGCTGCGACCGAAATCACCGCGGGGGGAGGCCTGGAAAGAGCTGTTCGAGGCCCGCTTCCATGCAAATACCCCCAAAGTGCGACCTGGGCCGAACATCGCGGTCTTTTGAAAGCTATCAAGCATCTGTGGCAGGACCCCGCTAGGATAAGCGAGGGCGAGATCGATATCCACGCCGATTGCAGCGCGCTGATCAAAGGCTGCGCTTCCGTTCAGAGCGCTCGACGGGGCCACTCAGCAGGCTGGTCACTGGCGCCAGATCCAGAAGTTAGATAAAGAGTTCAGTGTTCGCAAAGTAAAAGCTCACCAATCTTTGGTCCGTGGATATAGAGAGTGGACAGAACACCTTGTGATCGGAAACGCCTGGGCCGACGCCATGTGCCGTGAAGCTGCCCGAGTTTTTGCGGTTCCCCAGGATGCCGAGCATGTGCAGGAGACCCTGGACGGATGGTTTGCGGTTTTCAAAGCTGCTGTTTCAATTTTAGAGCTCTGGCCCCCTGCCAGAGAAATGCACGGAACCCTGTTCAAAGTCCGAGCCCAGTGGCCCCTTCCCCCCAAAGACACCCAGCCGCACTGTATTTGGTGGAGTGGTAGAATGTGGCTGTGTGTTCGTTGCGCTCGCTCTTTCAGGAACCCGCCCAGTAGCGGGAAGTGCTGTGCTTTTGCGCCATTTTCGGGGAACTCATTCGAGGTGCGGCCACCAGCGGGGGATCTCACCGCTTGTGGGCTGCACCGATCGAAAAGTCGGGTGTTCCAGTTTTGTTTTGTACGCGCTGCGGGTCATATTGCACGAAGGCGCCCAGGCATCTCCTGGGACCGTGCAAGAATGTCAAGACCGCGCAGCTGCGATATTTCAGGCGAGGACTCCTGCCTTTGGCCCGAGGGCACGCGTCTCAGCAAACCCTTGGAGGATCCTCCACAGCGCCGCGTCGTGGTGGAGGGGCGGGGTCGAGCGGGTCGGGGAGGGGTCCTTGCAGCCGCTCCCATCCGTGGAGTAGGCTAAGCACGAGAGGGTAGGCGAGCTATGACTTGGATGCCCTCCAGATGCCCATGAATAAATGAATGGGGGATGGGGGGGGGGGCGCGCAGGGGGGCTGGAAAGGGAACGGGAAGAAGCGGCCTTCGGGGGACCCCCCTTCCTCTCTCTTCGCCCTGCTCCCTCCTCGCCCTCCGTTCTCTCCCTTCTGTTAGGTCGGGCATGTCCTCCTACAGGCGGATTCGCGAAGAAACATCGGCAAAGTCAAACATATCCAGAAGTAGCCACATATTGCACGAAAAATCGTCCCCATACTATTTCTTTACTATTCTCGCATGTTCCTTCTGTAGAGGGACGCGCCCGATTCAATCCTTCGGCCTCCCCCCCCCCGGCCCCGCAGGGGACTCGCGCGCCGCGGGTTCCGAAGACCGGCCCCGCCGTGGCGCCCGCCGGCTTCGTGCAGCGCGCGAGGGCGCGCTGGGGGGTTGGAAGCGACGACGGCGCCGCCCGACGCCGCCGCCCGCGGCGAGGACGCCGAGGACGACGCAGACGCTGCCAGCGGCGGCGGCGGCAGCGACGACGCCTTCGGTAGCAAATCATGGGAGCCTTGTGTACCCTCGTAATTCTGTCTTTAGCGTCGACTGGCGTCGATTAGCGTTTGGGAGCCGACGAGATAGCGCCGATTTGGCGTCGGTGAGCGTCGATCAGCGTCGATTTAGCCTCGTTGAACGTCGATTTAGCGTCGACCAGCGTTGATTCGCAAGAGCCGACAAGATGGTATGGGAGGTTCCCATGAGTTGCCACCGAAGACGCCGAAGACGGCTTGGGAGAAGGTTCTGGAGGTTTCCCGAGGCTCCCGGGGCGTCTTGGCCGTCTTCCTACGCTTCAGGAGGTCTTCGGACGTTTTCGGGGGGCTTCGGAGAGTGTCCAGGGGTTCGTATGGGAAATCACGATGATGATGATGATGCTGATGCTGATGCTGCTGCTGCTGATGATGATGATGATGGTGATGGTGATGGTGATGGTGATGGTGATGATGATGATGATGATGATGATGATGATGATGACGGGACGAGAACGATGCTGGTGATGATGAGGATGATGATGATGATGATGATGATGAGGAGGAGGAGGAGGAGGATGGTAATGACGATGGGCAAGGTGATGATCACGGCGATGATGATGCTGTTGCTGATGATGAGGGAGAGAATGGTGATATCAATGACAGGGACACTAAAAAGATGATGATGGTGATGCCGATGCCGATGGCGAAGGTGGTGATGTTACTTGTAATGGTAATTGTGATGCTGATCGTGATTATGATGATGATTGTGATGTTGAGTATTCATTCTAAAAAATAATCACTGTTGATCTCCAGAAGCGGTTCCGTGCGCTTTCGCCTCGATGCTGGCTAAATTTTCACTGAAAACGAGGCTTCCTCGCGAGCGTTGGCTTGAGTCTAAATTTGGGCCCTTGGAGGCCTAGCTACGACGGCAACGGCTCCCGCTCGATATTTCCTCACAATTTACCCCGAGACACCCTGGCCAGAGCGGCCCCCGAACTCAGGAACGGCGCTCTCGCTCAAGACTTTCTCGCAATTCAATCAAGTTGGCGGAGGCCCAGCCACGACGATGAGGGCTCCTGCTCGATACTTCCTCACGATTTACTCTGAGAGCCCCTGGCCAGGAAGACCCTCGAGCTCAGGAACGGCGCTCTCGCTCGAGACTTTCTTGCAATTCAGGCAAATAGGTGGAGGCCCAGACACGGCGACAATGGGTCCCTTTCAATTTTTTCCATATGTATTCCGAGAGCCCATGGCCAGAGAGGCCCCCGAACTCAGGGACGGCGCTCTCGCTCGAGACTTCTTCACACTTCAGTCAGTGGCCGACAAGGAAGATATTCCCCCCGAAAGAGGGTGCAATCGAAGACGAAATGGGCGGGTATCGATGGTTGGGGTATACAGAATGCAAGACACGCGTGCCAGTAAGAGCGAACAGTCTCAAAACTATGGTTGCTGTTGTTGTGGTTGTTGTTGTTGCTGTTATTGTTTTTGTTGTTTTTGTTGTCGTCGTCGTCGCCGCCGCCGCCGCCGTCGTCGTCGTCGTTGTTGTTGTTGTTGTGGTTGTCGTTGTTGTTGTTGTTGTTGTGGTTGTTGATGTTGTTGTTGTTGGTTTTGTTGTTGCTGTTGTTTCTATTGTTGTTGCTGCTGTTGTTGTTATTGTTGTTGTTGGCGTTGTTGGCGTTGCTGTAGTTGTTGTTGTTGTTGTTGCTGTTGTTGTCGTTGTGGTTGTTGTTGTTGTTGTTGTTGTTGTTGTTGTTGTTGTTGTTGTTGTTGCTATAGTTGTCGTTGTCGTTGTTATTGTTATTACTGTTGTGGTTGTTGGTGTTGTGGGTTTTGTTGTTGCTGCTGCTGTTATTGCTGTTGGCGGTTATGGTTGTGTTGTTGTTGCTGCTGCTGTTGCTGTTGCCGCTGCTGCAGCTGTTGCTATTGTTGTTGTTGTTGTTGATGATGTTGATGCTGTTGTTGTTGTTGGTGATGGTGAGGATGCTGATGAATACGGTGATGATGTAGATGACGGAGGAGAAGGAAGGATAATGCGAGGCGCTGTTTGTTCAAAACGAGGACCCCAAACCACAGGGTGGTTGGTGGACCAATCGGGGCAGCAATGGCCGCTCCCTGCCGCCTTTGCGGGTCGGCGCGTGCAAGACTGTGACGTTGCGGAACCGAGGAGGAGGAGGAGGAGGAGGAGGAGGAGGCGAAGGAGGTGGAGAAGAAGGAGGTGGAGAAGAAGGAGGAGGAGGAGGAGGTGGAGGAGGAGGAGGAGGACGTGGAGGAGGAGGAGGAGGAGGAGGAGGAGGTGGAGGAGGAGGAGGGGCACGGAGGAGGAGAGGAGGAGGAAGTGGAGGAGGAGGAGGTGGAGGAGGAGGAGGAGGACGAGGAGGAGAAGGAGGAGGAGGAGGATAAGGAGGAGGAGGAGGAGGACGGAGGAGGAGGAGGAGGTGGAGGAGGAGGGGCACGAGGAGGAGGAGGCGGTGGAGGAGGAGGAAGAGGAGGAGGAGGAGGAGGAGGAGGAGAGGAGGAGGAGGAGAGGAGGAGGAGGAGGAGGACGCGGAGGAGGTGGAGGTGGAGGAGGAGGGGCGCGAGGAGGAGGAGGGGAGGAGGCGGTGGAGGAGGAGGAGGAGGAGGAGGAGGAGGGAGGAGGAGGAGGGAGGAGGAGGAGGTGGAGGAGGTGGAGGTGGAGGAGGAGGAGGAGGAGGAGGAGGAGGAGGAGGAGGAGGGGCACGAGGAGGGGCCCCCGAGTCGAGTCGCCTCCGCGCCCTGCGCAGTGGTCGTCGGCCCCCGCCTCCGCCTCCGGGCCGCGGCGGCTCGCGCGGCGGTGGGGCTCGGCCACGGGCCCGGCCGCGTGCCCGCGGCCCTCGCCCCGCAGGGTGCAGTGCAGCCAGGACGCTGGAAGTTTTTCTGTTCATGTTTGCTTTTTTTTTGGGGGGGATATCTTTTATAACATGTCCAGATATAGTCATAAGACATTGGAACACATACATTGCCAGCGGCGGGCTGTTTTCCAATCCTGGGACCTTCTGAGGGTCGGGGACGACGCGGGTGTGTGTGTGTGTGTGTGTGTGTGTGTGTGTGTGTGTGTGTGGGGTATACTTTTCTGAAGTCCGTGTCCCCGGGGAAACCAAGAAACATGTATACACCAGGATCTTGCATACACCATGATCCGCTTTCCTGTGTAATTTTCAGTGCATGGCCAGAAACAGCGTCGGGGTATAGAGTTCGGTTCCCTAACTTTGGGCTCGGGGATGGTCATGGCTTTCGCAGGGCTCACTTCGACTCCCCCGACTCGGGTCGGTTCGATTTCGAGGGATTCGGCCCCTGGTTCGAGGCGACCCCCGATTTCGATCTGGGCCTCGGTTTCTCAACGGAGGCCTTCCTGACCTGCCGAGGTCCGCCGCGCCGACTTCTCCCGACTCGGCTGCCGATCTCCGCCGATCCGATCCCTTCCGATCGCCAATTCGACTTCTCGCTTCGATTCTGGGCTCTCCTGCTGTCTGGCCGCTCCTCGGATCCATAGGCTGCTCGTGGCCGAAGCCTGCCGCGGCCGGACGAGCTCCTCCGTTCCTCGCTCCGCGGCCCTCGCGGCAGCACGAGGACGGCAGGGGCCGAGGCGAGGCCCTCCGCGCGAAGGCGCAAGTGCTCCCAGTGGGCGGGAGGCCTGGGTCAGGAACGCTCTGCCTGGCGTGTCGCGCTGGCCCCAAGAGGGCCCCCAGAAGCCCCCAACGAAGGCCCCAGAGGGCCCCAGGAGGACCCCCACGAGCGCCTCCCGGGGCCCCGATCATTGCTTCTTCCCCCGGTTGTGGAAGGCTGTTTCTGCGCTCTCGTCTTCCCCTGTCCTCAGAGGTCCACGACGGCCCAGGCGGCCTCCAAAGTGGTCCCAGGACGGCCCCCAAGAGGCCCCCAAGAGGACCCCAAGAGGACCCCAAGACTCTTGGGGTCCTCTTGGGGCCCTCTTGGGCCAAGAGGGCCCCAAGAAGGCTCAGAGAGGCCCCGCTGCGCTCCGGCACGACGCGCGAGGCGAGGCCCCGCCCCCCCCCCGCGCCTCTCCGCGCTCCGAGCAGCCTTCTCCCAGCTGCGCGCCCCACGGCGCAGAGCGACGTGCTGTCAGCTCGTCCGGCGCCGCGGGTTTCGCGGGGGGCCACCGCCGCGACACGCTGGGCAGCAGTTTCTCACCGTGTGCGGGGAGCCATGGCGACGATCTTGGCCTCGGCGGGGCCGCATTGGCGATGGGCCTGGGGCTCGGAGGTCGTATTATGGTGACTGCTCTCCTGCGCAGCCGCGGTCCGTCTCTGTCGCTGCCCGGCGTCCTGGACAGCGTCCCTACGAAGGCTTCGCATGGCGACAGCATCGGTGTCGAGAGTGTCGGCTTGTCGGTTGCACCCTTCGACGGAGGGAAGAGGGAGGGAGCAGGGAGGGGAGAGAGAGAGGCAGAGAGAGAGAGAGATAGGGAAGGGGACAGGGAGGAGGCGGCTGAGCACGAAGGAGGAAGCACGACATCCCCTCTTGGCGAGCGGAGTCACCCGCTCAGCGCGCGCGCCCCGGGGGGAGGGGGCCACAGGCAGCGGCCGCCGCTGTGGCGAGGGCGGCGATGGGTGCGGCCCCCAGCCGGTCTTGAGCTGCGCGTGCACGTGCGCGCGCTGCGCGGCTCGGATGGGTGGAAGGAGAGGCATGAATGCAGGCGGAGGAGGGGGATGAGTATCGGTATGAGTCAGACTGGCCGTTGTGTTCCTCTCTGTGCGCTTGCGGTCTGCTCCACTCTGCCACCCCTCGTTGCGCTTCTATCGGCTTCACTTGTGCACGCATGGCTCGTTTTTTCGTATTGGGTTCACGCGCGTGCTTTTTTTGATCAGCACAAGCGTCCATTCGCAGCGGTCGCTTCGATCAACGTCGGGCTAAGTAAACGTATCAGTCTTTCTTGCCACTTCGAACGAGTGTTGTGCCCCCCCAGCCCCCGCCCTCCTAACCATGACGCATGAGCCAATGCCAGTACAGCCAGAACGCTGCACCTGCTCGTGCCAACATCGAGCCAGCGGCATTCGCTCGCTCGCGTGCGCGCGTCCCCTCTTCCGAGGACTTGGCGGAGGAGGCGAATGCGCCGCGCCTGAGCTGGAGCACAACTTTCGGGGAGACTTTAACCTGCGACGAAAAGCCCGCATGCCATTCGCTGGCGCGCGGCCCCGCTTCAAGCTAGATTGGTGATCGAAGGACATGCGCCGCGCACCAGCGGGAGTGCACTTTTCAATATCCACCTGTGCGGAGGCGGGGGCGGCGGCGGAGGTCGAGGTGGATGCGAAGGTGGACATATGCGGAGGGGGAGCGGGAGGAGGAGGAGGAGGTGGAGGAGGAGGAGGAGGATGCGGTTGCGTAGGCGGAGGTGCAGGCTGGATTGAAAGAGGAGGCGGGGGAGGCGGGGGCGACGACGGGTGACGACGACGAGGATGACGATGCCGATGACTATGACGATGCTGATGGTGGTGATGATGACGATGATGCTGCTGATGCTGATGTGGATGATGCTGATGACGAGGATGATGATGCTGCTGATGATGATGATGCTGGGTGATGCTGATGATGATGATGGCGATGATGGAGATTTTGGTGATTATGGTGGTGATGCTGATGAGGTTGACGATGACGACGATGCTGATGATGCTGCTGGTGATGGTGATGATGATGGTGGTTAATAAGGCGATGCTGCTGGTGATGATGCTGATGCTGCTATTGCTGACGACGGTGATTCAGCTTTTCGGGATGAGGATACTGATGCTGATGCTTATGCTATTGATGCCTCAGCTGCTGCTGTTGATGATGAATATGATGACGGTGATGGTGATGGTGATGATGACGCTGATTCTGGTGGTGACGATGCTGATGATGTTGAAGACGACGACCATGATGCTGCTGATGATGGTGATGGTGATGGCAGTGAAGACGGTGATGCTGATGGTGATGATGATGGTGATGCTGGGGCAAATGCTGATGTTGCTATTGCTGACGATGGTGATTCAGCTTTTCAAGAGGAGGATGCTGATGCTGATGCTATTGATGCTTCAGCTGCTGCTGTTGATGATGAGGATGATGGGTGACGGTGATGGTGGAGGTGATGATGATGCTGATTCTGTTGGTGACGATGCTCATGACGCTGAAGACGACGATGATGATGATGCTGTTGATGTTGATGCTGCTGCTGCTGATGATGATGATGATGATGATGATGATGCTGCTGATGATGATGATGATGATGGGGTGATGAGTCTGATGGTCATGACGGCGACGCTGGCGCTGTTGTTGCTGATGATCCAAATGGTCATGCTGATGCTGATTTTGCTGCTGCTGCTTTTGATGTTTCTGGCGCAGTTGTTGATCATGCCCACGATGATGATTTGATTGTGTCGTGCCTGGTGCTGATACTGCTGCTGATGATGACGATGTTGCTGCTGATGGTGATGGTGATGATGACTGTACGGATGCTAATAGTGATGTGGTGGATGATGACTATCGCAAAGATGAGGATGATGGTGATGATGATAATGGCAAGGAGCGTGTTGAGCATGGTTATGACGTTCATGCTGATACCTATGCTGAATCTGACGATGCTGGCAGTTGAGGTGGTGGGTGATGACGATGATGGTTATGGTGATGGTGACGATGATGATGATGCTGATGATGCTGATGGTGATTGTCTTGCTTCTGATGATGATGATGGTCGCGATGGTGATGCGGATGATGATGGTGAAGCTGGCGGTGATGATGCTGATGCTGGTGATGATGATGGTGATGGCGATGATGATGATGACGATGATGATGATGAAGGTGATGGCGGTGGTGGTGACGATGATGAGGATGATGAGGATGCGGATGCTGCTGGTGATGCTGATGTACATGATGAGTATGAGAAGGATGTGATTGATGAGAAACACGAGCAGTGGAATCCTGGAGAGGATGCAATGGAACATGATGAAGAAGAGGGGGTGGAGCGGGGTTAAGCGTTGTGGATCGCCATGGCCATCGTAATGCTGGGCACAAGGGTGCTGATGGCAAGTTCGGACACGCTGACGGTGATTCAGGTGGTGACGATAGCGGCGACAACGGCGGCGATGACGACGACGACGACGACGACAGCGCTGTGGGCCAGAAGCGCGGTCGGAGCGGCCGAGGCGTGGGCCCTGCGCCGGGGCCTCCCGCCGCCGCCTCCTCGTTTCCCCCGGCGCCGCCCGCGTTTCCCCCGGCGGCTCCAGCATCGTTCCCCCCCGCGGCTCCAGGACTCGGGTGCTGATGCTCCAGGGGAGGCCAAGCGTACCCCAAGACCAGACGTGCCCTGGAGAGGGGCTCCCGAGGGCCCACCTCGGGAGGCCTGGGGGTACCAGGTTCTGGCGCATGCCGTCGCTCGAGCTGGGGCCCCCGCGGCGCCTCGCTCTGGGGGGTGCGTGGCTCTGGGGGGTGCGTGGCCCTTCCCAAGGCACACCCTGACATCCTGGCATCGCGAAACAAGTCACGACAGGCGTTTCTGACCCTGCATCGGGGCCCCCAGGAGCCCGTGTCTTGATTGCTTGGGGCGTGACGGCCGTCATGGCCTCCGGGCCCCTCCCCCCCTATGACGTAACGCTTCTCCCCCCCAAGTGTGTTCCGGGCACTGCCGCCGTGCGCATCGTGATCCGTATCGGGATCGATTTGTGAGAGTCTGAGACTCACAGGTCGATCCCGGCGAAGAGATCCCACAAGTCGAGCGCTCGAGCTGCTGCTGTTTCGCGAGGCCGGATGCCTGGGCACGCCGCCCTGGCCCAAGGTGTCCCTGGGGGGCTGCCGGGGAGCTCCTGGTGGCTCCTAGACGGCCCCAGATTGGCGTCGCCCCAACATGCTCATATCAGGAGGGGAAAAGCACACACAGACACAAGTCATCGTCGATTCCCAGGAAAAGATCGGACAGCATGGACAGTGGGGGGGAAGACGCACACCCAGCAAATGTGATAACCTATGGGGAATCCTTGGATTTGTGTGTCTTTGTTTGTGTGTCCCTGGGCCCTTGTATAGGTGTGCGTCCCGCCCGCCGCGCCCACTGCCAGGTCAATCCAGCCCCGGCCGGCCTCACCGGCGCGCTCATCCAGAATTTTTTTCCGTGGGGAGTGCCGTCCTCCCCCTCCTGTCTTTCGCGGCCGCCCATCCCGCCTGTTTTTCCTCGTGTTAGGTCGGGCATGCCCCCCTACAAGCGAATTTCGGACGGAAAATTTTAAAAAGTCAAAATACCCCGAAATACTCAAAAAATAAGCGAGACATCGTCCCCAGTCTATTTTTTACTTATAATTTTTGAATTTCCTTCCTGTAGAGGGACATGCCCGACTTAAGCCTCGTGCCTTCGCACAGTTCGTGTGCCGAACGAACGTTCCCGGCTACTCGAGTGCGCGTGCGGATCGCCTCTGCCGTGCTGCGACGTCAAAAGTGTGCGTCGCCCCTCCAAGGGCGACGCGCGCGCCGAGACGTCTTGGAGCCTCGGCGAGAACACCAAAACCCTTCAACTACTTCAAGCAATTCAATGATTCTTGCCTCATGGAGCCCTCCTGGGAGGCCTCTTGGAGGCCTCTCGGGGCGTTTTGGTGGGTGGCCTCTTGGGTCATCTTGAGGCCATTTTGGGCGTGTAGGAGCGATCATTGGGCATCTCGGGGCCCTCTTGAACCGTCTTGGCGGCCTCTTGGAGCTCTCTTGGCCCGTCTTGGGGCCCTCTTGGGCCTCAAAAAGTCCCGCGGGGAGATGCGCTGGAGCCCAGAGGGCACGTGACAAGCCCCAAGAGATTTCTGAAATTTGAGCATCCCTCATTGACTCTTCAGAACTGAGGACTGAGGCTCAGGGGACTGGGGAAAGGACCTGAGGACACGCCCACTCCGTGCCCAGTTGCCCGGTGGCGGATATGCTTCGCCGCGGGCGCTTTCTGGCCGTACCGCTCGGTAAACGATATACTTCAAGACGGTTGTGCTATATGTTGGGGTCGGACGCACACCTCCGAGGAGGACACATAGTACCAGGCGTGACGAGGCTCAGAAGTGACTTCCGCGGCTCCGAACTGGCTGAGAGACGGGGACACTTGTGCCAGGGCAGGGACACGCAGGCCTAGAGATTGACACCAACACCAATATCGGCGGTGTGCATCCACTGAGGGAGGAGGATCCCGATCTTGGCGATGGTGGTAATATTCTGGCTTCCAAGGTGGCCGAAATATTGCCACCAACACCGAAATCTAGGATCGTCCTCCCCGTGTGGAGGCAAGCCCCTGTGCTGGTGTTGGTGCCCACTTCTAGGCCTCCAACACTTGCCGTCAGTGCCCGAAGGATTTCCTCCGGCCGCTCCCGGAGCACCTCCGGCCGCTCCTGGATTTCCTCCGGCCGCGCCCGGCTTTCCGCCCGCGGCTCCCGGATTTCCGCCAGCGGCTCCCGGGTTTCCCCCTGCCGCTCCCGGATTTCCTCCCGC